GTACTGAGGAATCGAACCCAGGGCTTCATGCATGCTAGGCCAGCACTCTACCACTGAGCCACCTTCCCCACCGCCTGAACAGGATTTCTAAGAGCAGTGGCCACTCCAATCTCTGCCTCCTGCCAACCTCCTCTGCATCTCCTGGACTCTTGAGTGACTCGGGACGAACTCGGAGCTGTTAGGTCCAGGCTGTGGTTCTGTTGAGGTGGACTCTCCCAGAGCCTGGGGCGGGCATGTGGGAGGCGTTCATGCAAAGTGTCCTTATGGAAGATTTGGCTTCTGAGCCAGTGTGGAAAGTTCCACAGCTTCCCATAATCCTAAAGGGCAGAAAGCCAACTTCACTGAAGGCTCAAGAAGAGCCAGGCGCTGGTGGCTCACGCCTATCATCCTAGCAACTCAGGAGGCTGAGATCTGAGGATCGTAGTCCAAAGCCAGCCCAGGCAGGAAAGTCTATGATACTCTTACTTCCAATGCACCACCAGAAAAAGCCAGAAGTGGTGCTGTGGCTCAAGTAGTAGAGCAATAGACTTGAACAAAAGAAGCTCAGGGACAGTGCCCAGGCCCTGAGTTCAAGTCTCAGGAAAGGCCCCCCCCCAAAAAAAAAAAAAGAAAGAAAAGGACAAGAGAGTATGAAGAAGTTGATAACAAGGCCTCTGCCCTCTGGGAGTTGTTTTCTGGAAGTTTCTTTTCTATTTTAATGTTGGTCATGGGGCTTGAACTCAGAGCCTGGGCACTGTCCCTGAGCTCTTTTGCCTCAAGCTAGCGCTCTACCACTTGAGCCACAGCACCACTTCTGTTTTTGAGTGGTTCATTGGAGATTTGAGTCTCATGGGGACTTTTTCTGTCCAAGCTGGCTTCGAACTGTGATCCTCAGATCAAAGCCTCCTGAGTAGCTAGAATGTCAGGCGTGAGCCACCTGTGCCCAGCTATCTAGAAGTTTTTGATTGTGAGGTGTAGAAGACTCTGAAGACATTGAAATGTAGCCAGACCTGGGGACAATTTTCACAGTGCAGCTATAGTTTCAGACTTAATCTTCACCCGGGCCACATCTCAGGTAGGGGCAGACATCGCCATAGCCTTGAAGCACCCCCCATTTCTGACTCAGATCTCTGTGGCTCAGAACCAAAAACAGTGGCTCATCTCCTGGCCTTTTTGTTTTTTGGGTTTTTTTGGGTCAGTTGTGGGGCTTGAACCCTGGGCCTGGGCGCTGTCCCGGAGGTCTTCAGCTCAAAGTGAACACTACCTCTTGAGCCACAGCGCCACTTCCTGTTTTCTGGTGGTTCTTTGGAGATGAGAGTCTCACTGACTTTGAACTGTGGTCCTTAGATCTCAGCCTCCTGAGTTAGCTGGGATTACAGGCGTGAGCCACGGGCGCCCGGCTCTGACCTTTGTTTTGTTGTTGATTTTTTTTTTTTTTAATTTGTGCTAGTGCTGTGGCCTGAATTTGGGAACTGGGTGATTGCCCTGAGCTTTTCTCACTTAAGGGCTCTACCGCTTGAGCGAAACCTCTGCTTCCATCTTTTTGCTTGGTTAACTGGAGCTAAGAGTTTTCACAGACTTTTCCCGTCCAGGCTGGCTTCACATCTTGATCCTCAGATCTCAGCATCCTGGGTAGCCTGGATTACAGGAGTGAGTCACTAGCACCTAGCTGTGTCCAAGTTCCTGACCCAGTTAGCTGTCCTTGGCCTTTCCTGTCTTCTCCCTGCCCTTCACAGCTTGCTCTGTCTCTGCTTCTCTGGTTCTCTCCTTCAGATTCTTCCCGTTTCTGTCACTTTGTAAATCCTCCTTCCTTTCTTGGACACTTTGTTAAGAAGTGACTTCCCTCCTAGGGGTGAAGCGCATGCGCAAGGCAGCTGGTCCCAGGGCTGATTCTAGCACGTTCACCGTGAGCTCCCCTCCCCCACCCCCTCAGCCATGCTCTTGAAGAGCAAGCTTCTTGCCTGGCCCCTCCGGATTCCAGGCTATCCCCCATAGCCCCACCCCTTGGCTTTTCTGGCTACAGGGTATAACATCACAGAAAGCTGGCAAACATGTAAAGTAGGTTTTATTGCTAATGGATAGTGCCCAGGTCCTGAATTCAAGTCCCAGGACAGGTAATGCACGTGCGCACACACACACACAGAGTCCATTAGCTTTCTTTATTAAGGCTGGCACTCTACTACTTGAGCCACAGCTCCAATTCCAGCTTTTTGCTGGTTAACTGGAAATAAGAACCTCACAGACTTACCTCCTTAGGCTGGATGTAAACCTCAGTCCTCAGATCTCAGCCTCCTGAGTAAATAGGATTAGAGGTGAGCCACCAGTGCCCAGCTTTGTCCTGTGAATATAACAAGCACCTCCCACATATCCCAGCCTGCTTAGCCCCACACCCCTTGTGGTTTTTGTTTGTTTGTTTGTTTGCCAATCCTAAGGCTTGAACTCATGGGCCTGGGCACTATCTCTGAGCTTCTTTTGCTCAAAGCTAGCTGGACTCTACCACTTGAGCCACAGTGCTACTTGTGGCTTTTTCTGTTTATGTGGTACTGAGGAATCAAATCCAGAGCTCCATGCATGCTAGCCAAGCACTCTACCACCAAACCACATCCCCCTGCTTTTCTACTTAGGCAAATTATATCAGCAGCAGCTGGATTTCTTACAGTCAGCTTAAGCCTTGATTGTGAAGTCAAAAGAAGCTATTTAATTTTTATTTCTGATTGCTTTTTTTTTTTTTCTTTTCTCTTTGTTGGTTGTGGGGCTTGAACTCAGGGCCTGGGCACTGTCTGTCCCTAAGCTCTTTTGCTCAAGGCTTGCGCTCTACCACTTTGAGCCACAGCACCACTTCCCGGTTTTCTGGTGGTTCATTGGAGATAAGAGGCTCACAGACTTCCTGCCTGGGCTGTCTCCAAACTGTGATCCTCAGATCTCAGCCTCTCCAGTAGCTAGGATTACAGGTGTGAGCCACCGGTGCCTGGCTTGATGACCTTTTTAATTTCAAAAGTGGTACATGTGCCTTTATTTATGTAGACCTCATAACAAACTTGTCTATGCTGTACAGGTAGGAATAGAACCCATGGCCTTGCACGTGCAGGGCAAGCACTCTGCCACTCAGCCACATCTCCAGCCCAACGTAACCTTTACATAAAGGACTTTATGCAACCACTGGGAACAGTATAAAAATAAACATAGTTGCCAGCTTTCTGCGGATGGTGGTGGTGTGTAGCTTTAAGCTGCTAGAACAAAAACATTTGTCATCAGAAGTTGGTGGGGGAGGGGAGAGGGGGCTTGAATCCTGAGGATCAGGCAAGCAGCGGGCACCTCAGAAGTGTGACCTGAGGAGGAGAGAAAAGCTCAGGGTTCAGGTCAGAGTGTACACGCTAGAGCCACATGCTGCTGGGGAGGGTGAGCATGCTCTGCACATGCGCTTACCCCCTAGGAATGCAGTCCAGCCCACACCTGGGCTTCCTAGCTTCCAGCCTGGGGACTGTGGTAGCCTTGCTGTGTGCCCTGGAGAGGCTGGCCATGTTGATCTGAAAATAAATCCCATTTTTTTTTTTTTTTGTTTGGCCAGTCCTGGGACACTGGGCATTATCCCTCCCTGAGCTTTTGCTCAAGGCTAGCATTCTACCACTTGAGCCAAGGGCCACTTCCAGCTTTTTCTGTATATGTGGTACTGAGGAATCGAACCCAGGGTTTCATACATGCAAGCACTCCACCACTAAGCCACCTTCCCAGCCCGCATATCAGTCTTTCATTTGGATGTTTAAAAGCTCTTGCCTATGTTTTTATAAGCTGATGAGCACTGGTGGGCAGATTTTCTCCTGCAGAGCTCAAACTACCCATTCTCAGGCAGGATAAATATATGATTGAGCTCACTTTATCAACACAGCACACGACTGGATGTCCAAACATAAGTTATATAATAGCTCAAAAGGCCTGTAAAATACTAGAGGTCTGCTAAGGTTATTAGAAGAGAATTGGGTGGGGGATCACAATTCCAATAAGCGGGTAAACAACTCCTGATAAACATGGAAAATCCAAAATTTCCAGAAATTTTACGATTAGTAATTTCAGAGCATAGGCAAGAATGTCTGTGAGATTCTTCTCTGCAGTGAGCCACCCAAAAACCAGAAGTGGAGCTGTGGCTCAAGTGGTAGAGCGCCAGCCTTGAGAGAAAAAGCTCCGAAACAGTACCTAGGTCCAGAGTTCAAGCCCCAGGACAAGCACAAAAGAAAAAAATTAGTTTTAGGGCTAGATGCATGGTTCAAATGGAAGAGTACCTACACCTAAGTTCAAACTCTTAATACTGCCAAAAAACTGTTTTAGCTTCAATATTAAAGCATTCCTAGGTATTAAGAAATATTTATTAAATGAGGGATCATTTTGTACATAGAAACTTCCTGTTGGTTCCAGTATTTATTGAGCACCTCCCTCCTGAAGTATTGTTCTGGTTTACTTCCAGTGAAAGACAAGGTGTCCCTCTGTAATCCAAGCAAGCATCTCATGGACTGGCCTCGAACTTTGATCGTCAGGTCTTAGCCTCCTGAGTAGCTATAAAGACAGGCATGAGCCACTGGTGCTCAGCTAGAATTGTTTTTGTTTTTTTTGGTCAGTTGTGGGGCTTGAACTCTGGGCCTGGCTGTTGTTCCTCAGCTCTCCAGCTCAAGGTGAGAGCGTTCTACCACTTGAGCCACAGCACCTGTAAACCTGGTGGTTTACTGAAGATAAGAGTCTCACAGATTTTCCTACCTGGGCTGGCTTTGACCCTTGATCCTCCCATCTCAGCCTCCTGAGTAGCTAGGATTGCAGGCGTGAGCCACTGGCACCCACCTCTAGAATTGTTTTTGAGATAGGGTCTCGGGCTGGCCTTCCACAGTAATCCTTTGCCTCCACTTCCCCCTAGGCTGGGATTACAGGCCTGTACCACCATGCCTGGCTTCTGATTCACTTTCTTGATGCTAACTTTGTGCATTCCTGAGGACGGGGTAAAGACACAGTTACCAGAACAGTTTTATCTCTTGCAGGTCACAGAGAGAATTCCTTCTAGATTGAAAAAAAAAAAAAAATCACCTCCAAACCCACCATGCCGTCCATCCATCTTTGTAGTGCCTATTCCGGGCATCAGCTGCCTTAAAAGTTCACTCCACACTTGAAGATCCTGCTGTACTGTGCAGTATTTTTTTCCTCCACCCTTTCTACACTCTGCCCAACGATGTGCCTTCTCAATCGACTCTACAAAGCGTGTTACGCTCGCTCTCATCCGGGAGAAAAGGTGCTGTTCCGGGAAATCTGGGTGTCTCTGAATGGGGAGACAGCGCTGACCATCTCCAGAGTGTTTCCTGCAAGACAAGCCAGCAGTCAGGAGCGAGCATGCGCAGAGCGCACTGGTGACCCACAGATTTTTTTTTTTTTTTACAGCAAGCTCTATTTTTCAGGATGAATCTCCTCTGCCGTCTTTTGGAATAAATCACTTTTTCTTGCTTTCTATGGAAATCTGGCTCCGGTGTTTGTGAAGCTCATTTTCCTAAGCACTTCTATCTCTAGATCTTGCTCTTTTTTTTGTTTTTTACACACATTGATGTTGTTATCTCAGCTTAGGTTGGATGGATAAAGGCTGCAGGGTAGCAGGAGACGCCTGAGGAGCCGGGTAAGTGCACTTTCTTAATCACTTGTAACCATTTCCATTGAGGAATGGGAAATGGGGGCCTGGGGGCGGGGCCTCCTCAGGGCCCAGCGCTGATTGGTTGTGTGGAATGATGTGGGCGGGGCCTAGGGCTGGCACCTGAGGCCTTATCTGGCTTTTGTTTAACCATGATGGCTGCCAGGGAGGCCAGGCCCAGCCCCTCTGCAGGCCGAGATGCCAGAGGAACAGTATAGAGTCCGTCCAGAACATGGAAGCCGACCTGGGCAATGTTGAGACTCTGATCTCTTTAAAAATAAAAGATGGCTGAGCAGGTGAAGGCTAACAGAGAGGAGGCAGAGAGTGTGATTCAGAGACAAAAGAAATCTAGAGATTAAAAAGCCAGGGTCAAGGAAACGCCTTGGGTGTTTCTCTAGTGGGCATCTCAAAAATTCACTGATAGAGTGGGGGCCCGATTTGTGGTGATTGCTTTTCTGTCATTTGGGGGTGTGTTGTTTTCTCGGTGCCGGGAATCGAACTCAGGGCCTCACACACACACAAGTGTGTTTTAAGAGTAATTGCTTAAAAATGAAGTCGATTTCATTTTCACCAGCTCATGGCTTTTTGTCCGGCGGCCAAGAATGGATTTCCTGTTTTGCAGTTTGTACTTTTCTATTCCTCCCAAACTCTGAACTCATTGCTTTGCTATTCTTAAGACCAAATAGAGTTTTCAAGTGCAAGTGTCTCTCCTGCTTTCGTTTTTTTTTTTATTACTGTGTTTGTGCTTGTGTGTGTGTACGCGCGTGCATGCACACGCCCAGGCCCAGGATGCTATCCCTTATTTTTTTCCCTCAAGGCTCGTGTTCTACCACTTGAACCACATCTCCACTTCTGGCTTCTTGGTGGTTCGTTGGAGATACGAGTCTCACAGACTTTCCTGCCCAAGCTGGCTTCAGCCTTCCATCCTTACCTCTCAGCTTCCTGAGTAGCTGGGATTAAAGGTGTGAGTCACCTCGCCTGGCTGTGTTGCTATTCTTAAGACCCAAAAGGAGTTTGAAGTTGAAGTGTCTCTCCTGCTTCCATTCTTCTCAATTTTTTTTCCTGCAAGTTGGGCTGAGCCTGGCAAGTTCTCCACCTCCCATTTCCGCACAAAGGGCCTGTGTAGCTGATACCATGGCATGGATGTGGAGGGCTGAGGTTGTGGAGGTCCCTAGGAGTCCATGTGAAACCCACCCAGCTCACCCCGCAGATTGGGTTTTCTGCAGACTGGTTTCAGCTAGTGTTTACTTGATTTTTTTTTGAGGGGGGGGGTTGTTTGATTTAGTTGTGGAGGGGGGGGGCTGGTGTTCTCCCTTAGACTTCTGACTCAAGGTTGGCACTCTACCCTTTGAGCCTCAGCTCCACTTTTGGCTTTTTTTGCTGGTAACTGGGGATGAGCCTCACCGACTTTCCTACCTAGGCGGGCTTGGAACCTCTGTCCTCAGATCTCAGTCTCCTGAGTATCTAGGATTACAGGCATGAGCTACCAGTGCCTGGCTGCTTGTTTGATTTGAAGAGACAGGGTCACCCTACATTGCCCAGGCTAGGCCTCGAACTACTGGACTCAAACCATCCTCTGGCCTCTGCATCCTGCGTTACTGGGACTATAGGAGTATGCTACTGTGCTTGGCTTGCTAGTGCCTCGAAGGACTGTGCGGATCTAGTCGCAGCTACACTTCCCTGAGTGTGGTCCTTGCTGTCGTGGGTTCATTAGGTGTCATTCCTGATCGGAGACACCTGTCAAGGTTCAGTGCTATTGGCCTTCCTTGTAGCCCCAGCCAAGTGGGGCTGTGGGCGGCTCTGTCCCTTCCTCATTTTCCTTTGGCCATTCAGTGGTGGTACATTGAAGGCACGGCTGTAAAATCCCAGCTCCCTCTCGCTTTGGGATTTTTTTTCTCCCCTTGGCACTGAGTGACTCAGACATAGAGAGTGAATTGGACTCCACTCATTTATCAGTTTATCCTTGGCTCGCTTTCCATTGGGTGGGGCTGCGTTGGGCAGTGTCCAATAAGAAGACAAGAATGTTGATGGCCTAGTTCTGGTAGGAGGGACAAGACGTGGAAGGGCCTGGTACTGTGCCAGCTAGGTTGTTTTGTGTATTTGTTTTTGTGGCAGTACTGGGGGCTTGAACCTAGAGCCCTGGACCCTTAGCTTTTGTTGTTGTTTTGCTTGGAACTGGTGCTCTACCACTTGAGCTACGCCTCCACTTCTGGCTTTTGGTGTTTACTTGGAGTGAAGTGTCTTAGGGACTTCCTTGCCTTGGCTGGCTTTGAATCATGATCCTCCGATCTCAGCCTCCTGGGCAGCTAGGGACCCCCCACCCCGACCCCAGCACCCGGCTCTCAGCCAGATCTCCATGGGTCTGCGTAGAGAACGGGGTGTTCTGTGAAGCTTGCCCGCAAGGCGGCCGCTCGGGCCTGGACCTGCGTGTCCCCGCAGCCCTGCTGCACCTCAGCAGAGAGAGCGAGGCAGCCCTGCGCACAGAGGGCTGAGCTGGGGTTCAGTGAACCCTCAGAACGACCGCCCCGGTGAGGGAGTAAGGACACCAACTCAGGCTTCAAGGAGAACACAATGTGTTCTTTTGTCCAGAAAGTCACCTTGCCCTTGGTTTGCCCTTGAGCTTCTAGTTTATAAATGATCATTCTTCTCCTTCCAATTCTTCTCTTCCTCCTCCCCTTCTTTTTCTTCCTCCTCTTGTTCTCCTCCTCCTCGTCTTCTTCATCTCCTTCTCTTCCTCCTCCTTCTCCTTCCCCCTCTTCTTCTTTTCTTCTTCCTCTTCCTTTTCCTCTTCTCCTCTTCCTCTTCCCCTCCTCCACTCCTCCTTCTCCTCCTTTCTCCTTCCCCTCCTCTTCTCCTCTTCCATTCCTCCTCCACTCCTTCTTCCCCTCCTCCTTTTTCTTTTCTTCTTCCTCCTCCTCCTCTTCTTGTTCTTTCCCCTTTCCCTCTTTCTCCTCCTTTCTCCTTCCCCTCCTCTTCCATTCCTCCTCCACTCCTTCTTCCCCTCCTCCTTTTTCTTTTCTTCTTCCTCCTCCTCTTCTTGTTCTTTCCCCTTTTCCTCTTTCTCCTCCTCCTCTTCCTCCTCCTCCTCCACTACTACTACTACTACTTCTTCTTCCTTCATCTCCTTTTCCTCCTTTTTTCTTTTCTTCTCTTGTTCTTCTTGTCCTTCCCCTTCCCTCCTCCTCTTCCTTTTTTCTTCTTCCTCTTTCTTTTCCTCTTCTCCTCTTCTTCTTGTTCTCCTTCTTTCCCCTTCTCCTTCCCCTCTTCCTCCTCCTCCTCTTCCTCCTCTTCCCCTCCTCCTCCTCTTCTCCTTTTCCTCCTCCTCCTCCTTTCCCCTTCCGCCTCCTTCTCCTCTTCTTTTTGTGATAGGATCTTGCTTGATTTTAAGTAGTTGTACAAAGAGCTGTCAGTTCAGCAGTCAGATTCTGAGTACTGTGCTTATGTATTTAGTCATTGTGCCAAGAAGGTTTCGATTCAACAAGTCAGATGATGAGTCCAGCTCATCTTGTTCAAGGTGACCCCTTCCACCATTCTTCTCCCCCATCTTTCCCAGCCCTTCCCGTATGTGAAGGTTACATAGATCAACTTTTTTTTTTTTTTGTCAGTCGTGGGACTTGAGCTCTCCAGCTCAAGGCGAGCGCTCTACCACTTGAGCCACAGCACCACTTCCTGTTATCTGGTGGTTTATTAGAGATAGGAGTCTCACAGTCTCTCCTGCCCGGGCTGGCTTTGAACCTCGATCCTCAGATCTCAGCCTCCTGAGTAGCTAGGATTACAGGCGTGAGCCACCAGCGCCCGGCTAGATCAACTTTTACATAATGTACAAATATAAAGATTGTTTTTGCCCATCCTTCCTTCCTCCATTCTTTTGCCCCTCCCCCAACAATTTTGTGTTGTGTTGCGTTGTATTGTGCTAGTACTTGCTTGGTCTTGAACTTTGAGCCTCATACTCTCACTTGGCTTTTTTCTGCTCCAGCTTGGTGCTCTACCACTTGAGCTAGCTTCACTTCTATTTATTTAGGTGCTGAACTTGAACTCAGGACCTTGCTACTGTCCCGAGATCTTGTTCAAGTCTAGTACTCTACCACTAGAGCCATACCTCCACTTCGGGCTTTTTGGTGGTTCATTGGACATAAGAGGCTCACAGACTTTCCTGCTCAGGCTGGCTTTGAACCACGATCCTCAGATCTCAGCCTCCTGAGTAGCTGGGATGACAGGCGTGAGCCACTAGGGGCCTGCCTTTCATGTCTAGCGTTTTGCTGGTTAATCGGAGATGAGAGTTTGACAGATTTGGCTGCCCGGGCTGGCTTTGAACCATGATCCTCAGACCTCAGCCTCCTGAGTAGCTGGGATGACAGCTGTGAGCTACCTGTTCCCAGTTCTTTGGTCATCTGGAACACGCCATCCTCCTGCCGGGACCTTCTGGGTGGCTTGGATTACAGGCATGTGCCACTCCATCCAGCCTCTGTTCATTCTTAATAATGGAACAGTTGTGTTACAACACGATCTGGCTCCATATAGAGTCTGAGATAGAAGATGTTAGGAAGTTTGTTCTTTAAAGCTCTTGTTCTGTTGCTTGCCAAAGATAAAGATAAAGAGTTCCTTATAGCCAAAAATGCCCAAAGCCTTTTCAGGAAGTCACGGTGTGCTTTTACTTCTTGGCCATGTCACTTGGAGCCTGAAGCCTGCGTGCTCTCTTTGTTTCTTAGTAGATTGGAGATCAGAGTCTCCTGGACTTGCCTGCATGGGCTGGCTTTGAACCGTGATCCTCAGATCTCAGCCTTCTGAGTAGCTAGGATGACAGGTGTTAGCTAGCAATACCTGGCTCTTCTAT